GACTCTCCGATTTGGGGTCTGAAACCCTTCTGCAGTTCGCAGGCTTCCAGGTTGGCTCAGAATTTTCCTCACCAACCCAGGTCTGCAGGTTCCTGGCATTCAGGCTTCCCTTCTCATCCCTCCAATGTAGACACGAGGTTGGAGAGACCAGTAGGTTGGAAAGACCCTGCTCCCCGCTCCCCGGTTTGATTTTTCGGAGTGATTGTTTCACTGCCTCGCCCCGGCTTTCCCATGACTTCCCAAAGATGTGTGGTCCAGCGTGTATAATTGTTATTCAGCAGAAGGGTTCTCGAGACCTCTTCACGCTACACACGCTGTTGCGTTTGTTTGATTTGCCTTGAGGATGCGTGATGTCTTATAAGAGGAAGCGAAATGCAGGGCTACGACGTGAATACTTGGGAAAGCAGCTGGCATTCCGAAAATATCTGTTGATCAACTCAAAGCTGGGAATAAGGGGACCCTTTGGACTTTTCCTTGGATTCTTGGGCACATTTTAAATTGGTTGAGTTTACTTCGCAGAAGTTGTTCTTACTCTTAAATCATCTCCCTTCCTCCACCCACCCCCTTACACCCCCCTTGCTTGGTTGACATGCTGGTACTTAAGATAGTCCCAAGCAATACAGTATACAAATCAGTCAAATTAGAGGGAGTTCTAAAAACATTTTTACTGTACTAATTCTTCTTTCATCCTAAAAAACCAAAATGGCATTATGAAACATCTTTTTTACTTTTTTCATATATTCAAGAATGAGTTATCCTCTAGATATTGTAGTATCTAACTTTCCTTTAAAAAAGAAATTCATTTCCTATTCTTCGCTCCTCTGAAGAGTTAATAAGTTGGTCTGAAAGGGAGAACAGAATCCCAAAGTGAGCTCCAAAGCGCTTGTTCAGGTGCACTTACCTCAATCACATGGGTGACTTCATCACAGACTGGAGGAGATTTGGGGCTTATTTCCTAATGGTGAATTGCAACGCGTGCTATAATGTGTATCTCAAGACCGTGCTTTATTGGCTTTTTAATCATTGATCATTTAAAAAAAGATTTTGTCTATAAATTACAATTAGGAAAACTGTGCTACTTGTGCTGTGGGATATGCGCTTCTTGGTAAGTGGTCGTCTGCTGACTTGCAGCGAATGGTGTTATCGTTACTATTAGTGTTTCCACGTACTGGTCGAACAATCTGTGCATTATGAAAGTATGTGCATGAGTGAGATCACTTCAACTCAATACCTTTTGAGGAAGAGATGATAGGGAGATTTCTTTCTGACTCACTCACAAATTGTATGAGTCATTGGAAGGAGAGTTGGTAGCATCACGTAAGCATGGTCTTTCAATGTCCGGATCTGTGGTTCCGAAACAGAAGCGGCTATCTGTTCCTGGAATGATTGCCGTCTCAGAAACTCTAGACGGCGTCACTCTGTGTGGGAAGCAACCTGATGGTGTGGGGAGGTGTTGAGTAACTGGCACTAGGCCACTAACAAAAAGATCAGCAGTTCGAACCCATCCTGTGCTCCTGGGCAGGAAGGTCTGGCAGATGATCCCAGAAAGAGTCTGTACTCACTGCCACCAAGTTCATGTTGACTCAGCGACCCCCTGTGGGTTTCGGAGACTGTAACTGTTCACAGGAGTGGAAAGCCCAGTCTTTCTCCTGTGGAGCTACTGTGGTTCCTTCCCTTTTAAGTGTGCTGCTGCCATGAACACACACACACACATACACATTCACTGCTGTCAAGTCAATGCTGATTCATAGCGACCCCGTAAGACCCTTTAAGAGCAGAAGCACCCCTGTGATTTAGTAAGGCTGTTACTCTTTACAGGAGTAGAAAGCAAAGTCTTTTTCCTGTGGAGCAGCTAGTGGTTTCAAACTGGTGACCTTGTGCTTATCAGCCCAATCACTATGTCGCCAGGCTCCTGCTGCCATGAAAGGATATTTGAATGTCTTCTTT